GTGTGTGTGTGTGTGTGTGGCTCATAGTAACCTTGAGTCAGGTAAGCTTTCAACTCCCTCCGCAGCAATCCCAATAACATTGCCCGCTGCTGAATTACTGACACAGAAATTTACAGTTGGACCATTAAAGCAGCAGCACTCATGCATTCACACTGTCTGATATCACATATCAAGAAAAGCTATCAGCAAATGCCCTCGGTCACACATCAGCTGGCACAGTTCATACGATGTTCCAGTCACGCCCAGGCTGCAGCGCACTGCGCTTTCATGACCATTTGACCTTGTCACCGTTGTTCCTGGTACTCCTCCACCAGCTGAGCACAGAACAACAACGTGCACTTACCCTCCACCCCCCACCTCCCACATCAGCTCAGTATTTCTGGCACAAGCTGCACAACGCCTTCTACTTTTTCTATCGCATGATGCATGAGAATCACACACTTACCCTCATATAACCGGCCTGCGATGCCCTCACATTTGAGCAGCACGTCGGAGCACAGGCAACAACGCTCATTCGTGCATTCGTCTTGTTTTTTGTTTCTCGCTGGGCAGCAAAACTCAACTCAGTGCTGTATATGGATTTGTGCAGCTGGCACAGAGAGAAAGAGGGGAGAGGGAGAGACAGGCTGCAGGGGTGCAGATGGGAGGCAGGGGGAGGCAGAGGGGAGGCAGAGTGGACCATGACTGGCCCAGATTCCGACAAATAGCAGGCCAGCTGGTTACATTGGGTTTTTACAAATAAACCACCAGACTATAATCCCTTTTCAAACATGCGTCAGAGTCCAAAGCCAGATATTGGATCAGAGAGTGGAGACATAGTCGTTCCAATCAAAAGGTCTTTTCTCAGACAACAAATCCGTGACTGGCTCTATATCACATACTACTACTAACAGGAGCTGGCAGCATTTCTTCTCACTGAACAAAGTCACAGGGAAGTGGTCAGTGTAGATTGTGAAGGCGCAAAGCTCAACACTTTACATGACCAGACTCTGCATCATACTGAAGATAAAGCACTCTGGGTAAAGTTTGAGAAACGTTGTGGTTTCAGTTTAAGGTTGTTGACTTTTCACCAGCACTTTGGGTGCATAAACACAACCATAGAGGGTTTTCATTAAAAAGTTCTGATTATATCTCACACAGCCTTACTTTGGGCTCAGTAAATAACAGTGAGTGAGATGAATGTCAGTATCTCCTGTGCACTTGTGATAACTGGGAATCAATGAAAAACATATTGAGTGAAATCTGGTAGTGAAAAGACAACAAGTGGACGAATTAAACTAATTCCCTACTGTAAAGTCAGCAGAAAGTCTAAAGGAGCTGATGTGAGAAAATAGCAGGAGACCCTCTGCAGGATTCATCGCAAGAAGTGGGTGTGTTGATGAGGTTTCTAACATGCGACAGAACAATCATCTCGGGGTGAAAAAGCAGCATTTAGTGAATCTGACTGTGGAAAGTAGCAGATGACAGGTGAGGCTTCACTTGAGCCAGTAATCAGATCTGTGTCGGGGGTATGTGAGGAAACAACTGTGATTGATATCTTCCAATGAAAAACTGTAGCAGCAGCAGCGTCACTCACTCTCACTGCTTTTAATAGCCGAGCTATTCGCTGTATGAAAGCTCCAGCATGTGATTTATATACACTGGGATTAGCAATAGAGAATAAACAATAGGGGAAGTGTATTCTCTGGAACCCCCCTCAGGATTTTTCGCAAAATAAACATCTTTGAGTTTACACAGTGGAGCTGAAACATACACACAACAGCATGATTGGAAAATAAAACAGAAATCTGCACTTTCACATCAATGTTTAAGTCTTTATCCAATAAAAAGAAAAAAATGATCACTTTGATTTTCCTGTCTGACAATGTCTCCTCCCTCAGACACCCACATCCAGATGTTTGAAATGATTGAGAACAAGTACATAACAACAGTAAAACACTGAATGTACAAACATTTATCTCAATTTTTCTCGTCAGCAGTTTAATGGATGTCAACCAGATGTTCTCTATCCTCCTCCACATCAAACCCATGAGGATTATCCTGTCAGATCTCCTCCTCCATCCATTCATCTCCTCTGCATTACACTCCATCACCACCTGGGTGTATAGTATATTTTGGATTCCCCTCAGATTCTTGAAGCCGGCTCGGTCCTGCGCAGAAGCTTTACTGGGCAGCAGGGTGACTCAATGACCCAGTTATGCAACAGAAGGTCGATGGAATCTCTCTACGTGCAAAATGTCACATTCTCTCACACCCACACACAGAAAAATTACCAATGTTCACCCGTGTCATTTGAATCTGTGACACCCAGTCTGACTCACATAAAGAAAATCCATCCAGTTCCCTGAACTCCACAGAAGATTAACCTCTTGCCCTGTTTCTTTTTTTTCTTTAAGAAAAGTATGGGGCAATTTGCTAGTCTGGGTCAAATGCTGAAGAATGTACAGTTCAGTCTAACCACAAACTGTAGCTCAGGCTAGCTCATTCTGAATTCTCGACGTGATACAAGCTCATGATGCTGCAAAGAAATCTTCTGAGTGGATTTTGTCAATGGACAAGACATGTGGGAAAATGTCCCCAAAGGTTCCAGGGGAGTTTGCAGGCGATCCTGGGTCTATAGGGGCGATTGCATAACCAGATTATGGTAGTTGGTTTTAGGCTTGGAGGTCACTGGGGCCCGATTAGCCCTTTAGCTTTAACATCTAGAATCTAAATCGCCCGAAGCAGCTTCTCAAACACAGAGATTCCTGAATGAGCTTCTGTGTGAGATGTGGGGGCCACCTGGGAGCGGTCCAAGCTCCGCGTTTTAGGCTTCAAAGTCAGGGTGGAATGACTCAAACGTGGTGACTGTGTGAATTTCATTTTGCTGCTGCTTTTCTATGACACTGAGAAGTAAATGAGATGAAATAAAGTCTTGGAATAACAATGAAGCTGCTGCTTCAGGAATGAGAGCTTCGGACCAAACATGGAGCTGGAGCAACTTCTTCCAAGTGGAATTTAATGAAATAACATTTTGATTTCTTGAAATCACTTGATTTCCGTGAAACAGTCAAACAGCAAAAACCTCCCTTCTTGTCCCTCTGTTATATTTCTCTTGAAACGTCTGTGTGAACTCTGAGAAAAACTCACTGACTTGTTCAATGGTTTGATACATAGAGACTCCTGCAGTGCCACCTACTGGTGGATCATGTTCCTCTCAGACCAGGACTGAATTTCAATCAAACAAACTTTATTTGTGCGGCACCTCGGAAAGAGAGGTCTGAGAAGCTGACATTACTACAAATCCAATGACTATAGAGACAATAGATGCAAATAAGAAATAAAAGTTGTTCATTAAAAGATCAAAAGGTAAGAATAAAACCAAATCTATGACGGAATATGAAGGAATAATCATTTATAAATACATTCAACCTGGACGAAAAAGGTTGATTTTCAGTTTGCTTGTATAAATCAATATTTAATACACGCAGCTTTGACATCTATAATCTGTAGTTGAGAGAAAATATGAGGTAATTAAGTAGCTAAGTCTAATATGATAGTAAATGACAGAAAAACACATTTGTAGTGATATAAGTGTAAAAATAAAAATGACAATTACAAAAGAAATGAAAACTAAATAAAAACTACAATGAACGATGCAAAACTAACTAAAACAAAACTGAATCGCAGATAAATTCAGCTTCGTTTTCGTTTCGTCTTCTCCCTGGATTAGTGCCTGTCCTGCAGGTGATGGTTAAAGAATGAAATTAAAGGACTTGATAAACCATATTTGGTGTCACACATTGTTTCATCCTTTTTCAGCTTCTACAAGTCAAGTTTTTCTCTTAATACCTGCCCAGCTTTGAAAGTTTTCTTTTATTTGCATTAGACAAAATGCTGCAGAAGCAAACAGTGAACCTGCTAAATAAAACTTTACATAATAAATAAAGGTTTAAAAAGATGGTTTGCTTCCTGTTGCAGTTCGTTCTCAGTTAAGTTCTGTTCACAGAAAAAGAGCTCAATCATCAAAACAACACACAGGATCAACATCACTCACATGATGTCATATTAAAAAAGAATAATGACAATGTTTATTTTCTTAACAACATTGTTATTACACTTACTTGCACAAAGCACATCCCTGTTTGTTGTGTATGATTTCCTATCAGAACAAAGTTCATATCAACAGCAAAGAGGAACATGTTGTAAACATCAGGGCCAGTATTTATCAAACCGCTCACAGAGAAATGTGTTTCTGAAGCAGAGAAATAAAAAGTAAAAATTCTTCCCAGCAACACCAACTTTCTAAACTTAATAAATGTTATTTTAAAGTAGCATTAAATTAAAAAGACCTCAAACGATCCTAAGTTAGAGCAGTAGAGGAAAAAAGGTGAGAGCACATCTTCACTGTCTAAATTATACAAGTGATATAACTGATCATGGTCAATAATGTGAGGAGAAGCAATAAGTCAGGTGCCACAGTTAGGTAACTTTAGCCAACTTCTTTCATTGAGTTCTTGTACATTGAGGCTGAGGAGACTGAGTGGGTCGTCCACTAATTACATGGTTGGGGGGGTTCGATCCCCGGCTCCTCCAGGCTGCCTGCCAAAGTGTCCTTGGGCAAGACACTGAACTTCAAATTGCGCTTGACGACTGTTTCATCAGTGTGTGAATGATGTGTGGTGTTGCGAATGGATGAATGTTTCATTTCCTTTACCAGTATGATTTTATGATTTTCTTTTTGTCCACATTTCGGCCGTTTGAAAGAATATTAAAAGGTAGGGGTAGTAATTGGCTCTTCAGAACATTTCTTAATGTAAATCTTAGAGGTTTGAAAAATATGGGCCCTGGAAGATGAAGATAAATCAGTATTTCTGCGTGTGAGTCCCTAAGTGGTATTTGAGGTGTGCGCTCTGTAGATATCCTTTGCCACAGACGTTACAGCGGTGTGGTCTCTCCCCCGTGTGGCTCCTCAGGTGCTTCTTCAGATGTCCGCTGTGGGTGAAACTTTTACAACAGAAAGAGCAGCAGAAAGGCTTCTCGCCCGTGTGGATCCTCATGTGTATCTTTAAATCTCCTTTCCGGCTGCATTCCTTCCCACAAACATGGCAGCGGTGCAGCTTCACCCCTGTGTGGCTGGTCATGTGTTCAGCCAGGGCCGTGCTGCTGTTGCACTGTTTACCACACACGTGACAACATCTGGAGGCCTTGTGTGATTTAAGATGCACATTAAGACTTTCGGTGGACTCTAAGGCCTTTCCGCACACAGCACAGTGAAAACCTGCATCCGTTGAATGCATGCGCAAAGCGTGATTTATCAAGTGGTGTTTGGAGGCGAAGGATTTATCGCACAAATAGCAATGATAGCCAGGTGCAAGTGAATTAAAATGAGATGCCTCAGTGGACTCTCTGGAGGTGATAATTGAATCCTGGTTTTTGTCTGTCTTTGTTTGGTTTGACATGAAACTCGCAGCAGGTCTTTCGTGTTCCCTACCATCTTGGATCTGAGTTTGTGAAGGTGGGAATGGGGCGAAATGTGGCATGAACTGTAGAGCTTTGGTTTCTTCTAACTCCTCCAACTGCTCCTCAGTGTCACTGTTTTGATTTTGAGTTTTCAAGGACGGTTTTGTGTCCTCCTGTTCATGTCCCTCCCACACAGCTGAAAGAGGTACATACAAGTCATTAGCATCCCTAAACTCTTGAACCTGTACTCCATCTTGTTGACAGGCCCAGACCTCCTGATCTTCCTCTTTAATGCGTCTAGGCTCTGGCTCCGTCTGACTGGTGCTGAGATTCGGCTCGTGCTCACAGTGGTGCCGCTCAGGGGGAGTTTCCTCTTTACAGATGGAAGACTGAGAGAGATCTAGAAAAAAAGGTGAAGAACTTAAAACTCATGTGTCTCTTTGCTCAACAAACAGTAGACACAGTTTCTGTCAGTTTGGACATTTGAGAAGTTAGAAAAATCAACATCTTTACTCAAAACAATGACAACTTACTGATGTATCAATTGATTGTTACACCTACACCTGTAATTTCCACCTTGTTAGAAGTAATAAACATCTGAGAGCAAAATGAAGAATGTCAGTTCATTTGATAAGAAAACATTTTGAATAATTTGCATTAATTAATTTTAAATGCATCGTTTTCCCACCAGAACGGCTTGATGAGTGATCCTTATTGAAAATGTGAAGTGACACAACTAAATAAGAAACTGAATATCTGCCAATATATCACTGCCTATGTTTTAATCGAAGTATCATATGAAGATCTGTATCACTCTCTTATCAATCAGGGAGTCAATCAAGTTAATACTTTTCTTATAGACAAAATTTGAAACCTTTTAAATGTATATTCAATAAATGTAAATGTGCACAATGTACAATGATTTAGTTGTAACCATAATGTGTTTATTGATGTATTATCATTATTATATTAATTTTTTTATCTTATACATAGAAAGTCAATCGATTTAACATCATGATAATAACAAGACATCAGTTGAAATGGTTGAAAATGGGTCTTAGGAGAATTATCTTTTTAAGTTATTACCTTGTGGGAACAAAATAAGATAAATAAGTTGTGAACACAGATTTAATTTATGAGCAGTAAACACATGACTGTCTGATGAAGACAACAGTAAATTGCGTTTCAAGCTTTGAAGAGTTTGTTAATTTCTCAGGTATTCTGATTGAAACATGTCTGACAGTCCTGTGTCTCTGTGCAGGAGTGACAAGAATCTCACTGTGTGACATTCACATGAAAATTAAAAACGTGATCAGCTGAGTTTTCTCCATGTGGTGGTGCAGATGTGGTGCAGATGTTTATCTGAACGAATAAAACACACACATCTTAAAATAAACATCAAGAGTAAATATGTCACCTTCCAGGACTTCAGGGGTTCTTTAGCTTACTTTCATTGACTCTAGTTTATTTAAATCACCGAGTTTAAGGTTTATAAAATACTTCTGGTGACATGGGTGGATAAATATCCCGTGGCCACGACTTGTTTAATGCGTGGGAACGAGATGATTATTAGGTGGCCACAAATTAATAAGACGTGGCCTCGAGAAATGTTTTGTCATTTCATCAGTGAGACTGTTCACTTTCCGGCATCAGTAGCTTCAGCCGCAAACATGGACAAGTTTGATCTGATTCCGTTTTATTTTTATCTGGGGTTGAATTATAATGATATCCTGAAATCACGTGTGGTTAGACATGGAGTCATTCCACGCATGTCACCAGACGAGCTCCGTAATAAAACCAATAATACGTCAATTATTACTATCAGGAAGATTCAGTCAGCTGATTCAGGACAGTGGAAAACATACAAATATACACAATCATGAAGTGACGTTAGGGAAAAGCAATGCGAGGTGTAGATGAGCAGCCTGTACTCATAATATCTCAGATAATCTCTAATGATAGTGATGATGAACAGACCTCTTCGGTGGGAGAACTCCTGCAGCAAATCTCTCAGACGATCGTTCTCCTGTTTGGACCTGGAAGCTTCTACTTCGTATTTCTCGATGGTTCGTTCAAACACCTGCAGAATCTCCTCGGCAGCAGCTGTTAGTCTTTCCTTCACGAAAACCCTGAGGAGCAGCGGGGCGGACATTTTAATCTCCCCGGACAGAAGCTTCCGAAACGGGGTCAGTTCTCTGGGCTGTTAGCTGACAGGCTACGGAAGTAGCGATAAACAAACCGCAGTGCGCATGTCAGAGATCTGTCGCCCCCTGCAGGAACACAGCGGCGGTGGAATAACTATAGACTATAGGGAATAACTTTGTTTATAGAGAAAACAAATGATTCAAACACATATAT